ACGGGCGACCCGGCCCCGCTGTCACGGTGTCAAGCGCAGGGACACCCCGGTACCAACCCGAGCGTGGTTGGTGGCACGTGGGAAGGTCCCGGGTCTGTTCTGAAGCCCCCTCCGGCTTTGTTCATCCACCCTGCGGGAGCGGGGGGGACGGCAAACCCGTGTCCCACCTTCCCCACCAACCCCCCGTGTCCTCCTGCCTTTCAGAGGACGTCCAGATGACCGACAAGATAACCATCTCCAAGCAGTTCAAGGAAAAGGTTATTCGCCCCATCTTGAAGGTACAGAGGATTATTTTTCTTTCATGGTTTACATTTCAGGTGTCCTGCGCTTTGGTCACTCAGCCATTCGATGCGATAGCCCCGGTATTCCTCACCCGGCTCTGAGATAAGGGACATGATGTCATTTTTTTTTTTCATTTTCACCCACTCAGAAGTAAGGTCGGAGCCCAGCAGAGATAAATAACAGCTCCTTACTCGCTCCCTGTGCTCTCGTGTTGGAGCAGCGACGTGAGAGCCGGAGGGGAACACGGGCTGGGAGGTGCTGCAGTGGCGTTTTGGGGCTTCCCTGCTCTCCCGGGGTCACCGTGTGCTCAGCTCCTGCTCTGCTGCAGAGGGGCCAGGAAATCCTGGCCGCAGCGACACGTCCTGACGGCACGAAGCTTCTCTCAGATGTTTCTGCAGCGCTTCAGGGCGCTGCTCACCTGGCAGCTCCTACAGAGACCGAGGATTTGGCCTCCCGGCGAGAGGCTCGGAGCGGAGCCGGAGAGCAGCGAGGGGTGTTGCTGCACGAGGCTGGGGCAGGAGCAAAGAGCAGAAGAGGCAGGAGCGGGGCGTCCGCCGCAGGACAGATTCATTTCTAGTTCCTCTTGCCATCTCCAGAAGAATTCGTTCCTCCTGGAGGCCACGCTGAGAGCTGATCCCGGTGATCCCGGTGATCCCGGTGACCCCAGACGTGGCAGGATGGATTTGCAGCTCGGTGGCGCGGGGCGGGATGGCTGCTGGGGCCTGGCTGGGTGGATGCTGAGCTGCGGGAGGTGGAGGTGGTCCCTGGGGAGCGTCACCGTCACGGCTGTCCCTGTCGGGGTCACCCACCCCGTCCCCGCTCACCTTCCCCCATGTCCCCCCCCCAGGCTCACTTCAGACGAGACGAATTCCTGGGAAGGATCAACGAGATCGTCTATTTTCTCCCTTTTTGCCACTCGGAGCTCATCCAGCTCGTCAACAAGGAGCTGAATTTTTGGGCCAAAAAGGTAAAAACCGTCCGTGGCTTTAGAGGTCACTTCTCCAGAGATGCACGAGCAGGAGGAAATCCCTGCCCGAGCCTTCATCCTCCTGATGAGGAGGCAGAGCCAATGTACATCTTTACCACAGCCTTACCCGCTGTTCGACACGAGGGGACCTCGGGGAGGGGGGCACACGCGGTTCCTCCTGGGTGGGGACAGGGACGAGCTTCGCACCACATTCAGACGCATCATCGTCTCGTCGGGTTTTGCACATCCGAGCTCTCCGGGGGGCTAAACAGGAATTAGGGGACCACTGGCGATGGTGGCTCTGGCCTGGGGGAGCTCTCCCCATCCCAGGGATGCTCTCACCCCTCCGTGCTGCCCGTGGTGTCCCCACCGCGCAAGGAACGGGGTGCCAGGGTTGCTCGAAGGCGTCAGTAACTCTTCCTCCTCTTCCTCACCCGGCAGGCCAAGGCGAGGCACAACATCACCCTGCTCTGGGACAGGGAGGTCATGGACGTGCTGGCTGACGGCTACAACTTGCACTACGGTGCCCGCTCCATCAAACACGAGGTAAAGGGGAGAGCCGGGAGGGGGTTATCGTTGGGAGGGTCCCTGCGATGGGCGGGCTCGTAGCCTGGCTTGGATCAGCCCTGGTGTGGCCAGCAGGACCAGGGCAGCGATCGTCCCCCTGTACTGGGCCCTGGTGAGGCCGCACCTGGAGTGCTGGGTTCAGTTTTGGGCCCCTCACTCCAGGAAGGACATTGAGGGGCTGGAGCGTGTCCAGAGAAGGGCAACGGAGTGGGGAAGGGGCTGGAGCACAAGTGTGATGAGGAGCGGCTGAGGGAACTGGGGGTGTTGAGCCTGGAGAAGAGGAGGCTGAGGGGAGACCTGATGGCTCTCTACAACTCCCTGAGAGGAGGCTGTAGCCAGGTGGGGGTCGGTCTCTTCTCCCAAGTTACAAGCGATAGGACAAGAGGAAATGGCCTCCAGTTGTGCCAGGGGAGGTTGAGGTTGGAGATCAGGACGGCAGGGGTTGTCAGTCCCTGGAAGAGGCTGCCCAGGGAAGTGGTGGAGTCCCCATCCCTGGAGGTCTTCCAAAGACATGGAGACGTGGCACTTTGGGACATGGATTAGTAGACGTGGTGGTGTTGGGTTGACAGTTGGACTTGATAATCCTAGAGGTCTTTTCCAACCTTAGTGATTCTGTGAGTCTATGATTCGATGTCCACGGTCTGTGGGAGGAAATGGCGGGGCCGGTACGCTCCAGAAGGAGATGGGGGACAAGTAGGATGAGCAGGAGATTCCGGGAGCCTGAGAGCTGCCGGCTCCCCGGGTGGCTGCTGGCAGGGGCGTTCTCATGGGAGCTGGTTCTTTGTCTTCAGGTCGAGCGTCGCGTCGTGA